TATCAGACACACACACAAAAAAAAGAAAAAAAAAAGAAAAGAAAAAGGTTATAGCATTGCCGTTGAGGACATCCGTCTTTCAGTTGTTTCAGATATTTGTTTCCTGCATTATTTACCCATGGCGCTACACCAAACTTCTATTGTGAGAATTGTGTGCTAGCTATTCGTTCAATTTGAGTAATCATAAAAGTTGGCTTGCCTTTTGATCTTGTTCATTGTGACTTTGGGAGCCTACTAAAGTTGCTACTAGTGGGAATAAGTGGTTTTTTTTTTTTTTTTTTGGATTGATAATTGTACACCTAGATGACTTGGGTTTATTTAATGGCTCAAAAGAGTGATGTTTTTGCCAGTGCTCGTGACACTACAGAAAAAAGTGACAACAGTCAGTCACCGAAAATGCCTCTTTTTGGTGACTATTGTAGTGTGACTTTCATTCTATATTATCAAACCTAATTCCAGGGCAGATTAAAATTCTTCATTTTGACAATGGCAGAGAGTATGTCATTCATAGCTTGTCTCAAATTTTTTTTTTTTGGGAACAAGGAATAATGGATCAAACTTGTACACCTCTCACTCATCACCAACTGCTTGATGTTGCTCGCTTATTGCTTCTGGATACTACTTCTGTTCGTCAATATATGTAGGGCAAAGCTTTTGTTATCTACAGTTTACTTTGGTTAATCGGATCCTGAATTGTGTACTTGACTACCATACCCCTATTATATGGTTCTTGGCAAACATTTGATTTGCATGCTGTGTCGAATTAGCTCTTAATCTTTGGTTGTGTCGCCTTTGTTCATGGTCACTACCACTAACGAAATAAGCTGGACCTATGTGTTATCATTGCTTGAGCTAGATGACCAGCTCATGCGTTAGCTCTTAAGCGTTCTGGAATTTGCATGCCAAAAGCTAGTCAACAAGACCATTAGTAAGAAAGTTATAATTGCACCTGCAGCAAGGCCCACACCGTGTCCAAGAAAATAGACCATTAAAAATTTCGTGAAAATCCACGGAAGTCTATTTAAATTCATTAAAGTCTATGATAATAAGGATCTAACAAACTCCATTAAAATTCATATAGAATTTACGCCGAAGAATATGTGGAGTGAAATCTATGAAAATCTCAATTAAAATCTCAACCGACACACCTCCGAAAACATCCTACACAAAAGAAGAGTTAAATAGAGAAGATTTACTTACGAAAAAGGAAGTGCAATAATTCCTGCATCCAGTCCAAGTTTATGCAGTTGTCACGGTTGATTCTAAGCCTAGAATCTATTGTGTCAGAGTTGTTTGTTTTTTAGGGAGTAAAACTACAAAGGCCCTACACTCGTTTGTTTTTTTATTCATGCTTTCTTCCTTATCATCCGCTGAATATACATAGCACTACTACCACACCGACCTCTGCTGCCGACAAAATTATTTTTTCCCCCATTTTGTCTCGAGACAAAAAAATCATTTTGTCTAGAGTACGACTTTCAGGACATACTGGAAAAAGAAATAAACAATAATAATAATGAATATAGATGCATATTATTCATGGTGGTAACATGTCTGCATTAATTTGATGCTTCTGTTATGTTAAGGCCTTAATCTCAGTTTCATTATGTGGTTAAATAAAATACTTGTTGGAGGGCAGGGGCCGGTGGTCAATGACGGTGCTCTATCTGAGATTTTAATTAAAGAAATTTATATTTATCGCTAGACCAGATAATACATGAGCTCAATGACACTTTTTCACAACTTTCAAGTGGTTCGCGTTAGACATAATTTTTGAGAAACCAATACGGTCGCAGATTCTTTAGTAAATTTAGAACATACTCTTCATTGTATATGTATTTGGTTTAGTCACTTCCTTTATTATGTTCTACATTTATTACGGTTTGTTCATTTTGGTTTTAAGATCCATCGAGGATCTTCTTTGTAAGTTTTTCCTTTGTATTTTTGAAGAAAAAAAACAAAAGCTTTGCCACAATGTCCCATTTATAGGCACAATATGGGTTCAAACACTCATTAACCACCCATTTTAACCCACTTAACAACGTACTTTCTCTCTTAAAAAAATAATGTATTTTCACGATCTAATTTTTCTTTTTAGATCCTCAATCAAGAATATAAATACAAAAATTCATCAAAATCGAGAGTTATTTAGAAATTTAGTTATTATCATGAATATTTTCATTATTTATCAAAAACGAAAAAACAAGCTCCCAAGAGTGATCACTCTAACTGCATTTTTTGGCCATCACAAAATATATGTAATCCAATTATCATCTAATTTCTATGAAGTCCAATGAGACTTATATATGTGCATTATAGTCTTGCTGTAACCAAAATAAGGAAAACTTGCAATTAAATGAGAAATTTTTATATGTTTCGAGTATAGTTCTTAAATAATGAGATAATCCAACAAGAAGATTTACTAATTTATCACAAATATCTTGTTATGACACGAATCAGTTTACAATGCAAGCAATAATAATCAAATTGACAACGCATATACTACTTTTTCACCCCCCCCCTAAACACCCTCAAAAAAAACAAAAAACGACAGAAACGTTATAATTCGTTTGCAACAAGAAAGGTAAACCTAACTAGGCACAAACCAAACCATATTCCCTATAATATATCTTTCGTACAATTTGTGTCAGCTTTTATAATCTCTAGGTTTTCTCAATTTGTCACCGTCCCTTGCACTTTACGATTCAGTACATGTCACCGTTGGTAGCTAGCCACATTGGCACATGGCATGCATGGTGTTGAGAGAGAGAGAGAGAGAGGTGCCATGAAATGAAAGGGTTAGGCCCACGCAGCACATGCATGGAGGCTCATCACTTTGTATCTTTCTTCCATTCAAATTGGAAATTAGTGAGCTTCAGACGATAAAGCACGGGGCCACCACCAGAGCACATTGAAAATTTCCACATAAGAACATGGTGTACGTGTTTTTGAGGGGACAAATCTAACCAGATGACAAAGTTTACTATTTGGATCACTCGGTTGGAAGTATATATCTTTATATAATTGGGGTTACTAATCACTTTCGCACACGTCTTGGTTAGTAAGCGTGATTACTATCAGGCGTCCTGTCATATACTTACAATGATTAAGATTCAAGTGCCAGAAAGAAAAAGAATGATTAAGACTTAATTCTTTTTGTGTGGCTGTCTTGTTACTGATTTACTACGTTATAATACGTGTTTTGTTTATTAATATTATATCCTAAAATATAAGTTCATCGTCCACTCATTTTATAAAAACGGGAGTTACTATTATTACATGACCGAAATATAACATGATTAATTTTTTTCTTCTTCTATAACATATAAAGTAAAATGAAGTTCTTAGACTATAACCTTTTTTTATGAACGTTTCAATTATTTGCCATATTATTTCAAAAGTTTTTCTTATCCGTCCATGTGATAATTTATTTTTTTATTGTTATGCAACCACAAATATATAAATATTTCATTTCCTTGATTGACATACATGTTCCATGGGCACTGTCAAGATGAATTTTTTCCTCACCTTTCAACGGATGATGCCATGTCATCACCCCAAGACATCCAACTACGAGAAATCAATAGGGAAAAATATCCGAGGTGTATGTATATCTCTCCTTTCTTAGAGTACTTTTGTTACATGACGACGAGGTCACGTGATAAGTGTTATAGAAAGAAAAGATAGTACACTCGGATGCATGTTAGATTTTCTCTTTTACAAACATACTGTAAGCAAGAGCGAAGCTATACAGAAAGCTATAGACTAGAGCAGACTTAAGCTCGAACAGATATGTATTTTTTGATAACAAAGGGGGCTAACGCCCAAACACAAAAAGAAAACACCTAAGCACTAAATAAACGGGGCCTGGAAACACCACAGGCATCAGCAGCGAGAATATCCACAAGGAAGGCTGGCACCTTGTCAAAAATCTGCAGACCAGGATCAAACTCAAAACTCTTAGCAGCCAAGGCATTCGCAGCACAGTTCTGTTCACGAAAGATGTGCCTAACTGAGCAATTCCAGTCAGCTCTCATCTTTAATTTGCAACAATTAATGATGCTGAAGGGGGGAAGCTCGAACTTTTCTTCACTTCATACAAGTTTTAGTTTTGGACAAATTTTAACCCATCACGGTCAAGCCAGCTTTGGTCGTGATACCAGGTCACGGCATCCAACAGCGACCCAATAACAAGCATCCTCTATGTCCAATATTAAGTCCATTGCCTCTCATGAGGGGTTATTATAATTCCCTTAACTACAGGCTAGTACGCGTAGAGATAGGGCCCTGCTTTTTGTTTACTACTTTGGCATACCTCTTATCTATTGTGGTTGAATTCATAGAATTTACGAGCGATGCTAAAGAGAATAGCTCACTTGTATAACATCAACGGCTAACAGCCACCTACACATGTACGACTAATCAAATTAGGATCTTCGTCTCGATAGCTTCTTTTGTAGGAGATAGGAAGAGCTTTCTTGATCCCAGATAGATAAACCTAATCAGCCAGTGGAAGAATCATAGAAGTAGTAGACTAGTGAACTCGTTGGACATTTCTAGAGCTAGATCGTTTGAAGGTGAATCACTTTAAAAATATATCTTGGCCTTGAGATAGTACACACAAGACTACTTTTGTGATGAATTCATGACAACCTTTTTGCATATTTGGGGATCATCCATTGGGTGCAGAGAATCCTTACACTTGAGGATAGTTATTTCGTTTGGAAAATTATTGAAGTAGATTAAGGCCTCATAACTTTTGCTTTCAGTTGTCTAGTCCTTATCCTTGAACAAATTCACTTTTTCTGTGGCATTATGGTTGTCGAGGGTTCACCATCACTTTGATTTGACGTTATTATAAAGGCAATTAGTTTCATTAACACAAAGTGGTATCTAAAAGAACCGATAGGGTTTTCTGAAGAAATTTCAACTACATGGTCAAATGAATGCAAAACTAATTGAAACTCCTTTTATTTGTACTGGAAGATGGCGGATTTGGGTGTGAATTCAAAATAGGGGCGAGAGTGTTAGGATTCGATATTTCACATTGAAAAAATATCATATCTTTTCATGCTCTTGGGCGCCATTTGCTTACAAGTCTCTTGGGCACCATTTCCTTACAATTCAGTTACCCATGAGTTCTTCACAACGGGAAGAGTGAATGGAGTTGTGAACCAACAGGCAAGTAGCTCAGACTTCCAATTGCAGGGATGCGATACGTACCACAGCCCAACCATAACTTAAAGTCCCATTCTCTTAAAGGTCTAAAGTTGCCTTGACGACCAAATCTATAATACAACAAGAGTCCACACAGAGGGAATCTTAAAATTGCTTCAATACAATGGGTCAATACTGCTCATCACAGAATTTAATGGAAAAAGAATAACACAATAACGTATTTCTGAAAAATTATTTAAGAAGATGGCATAAACCTGAACCCCATACATGAAACCGACATGATCTTCTGCATCTGGACAATATCTCAGCATGATGAACACCTCTAGTCCTGAGAATATCAAGGGCAGCGCTAAAGAGGCTAACAGGATGATAAACAAGGGGGTAAAATATGATTATGCTTTCTTTTATAATTTAATCCTGATGTTACAAGAGAAATTCATTACAATGTACAGCTTGTGGGTTCTCCCTCTGAACTTCGTTACAATGATACAGCTTGCAGTTCCTCACTCTGATTGTCAGGTGTAACTTTCTCAGCATCAGGGAGGCTCTTTAACACCTAAGATGAGAGAATATCTTTAGTCATCCTTATGGTGACAGCCTCTAATTAATCACAGATAAAGAAGATTTTAAGTTTTGATAATTAACTAACCTCATACAGATGCCATGATGTGAATGCATCAATAGCAGCATACTCCAACTGCTCCTTTGATAAAAACTTGGCCTCCCAGTTTCCCAATCTAATTTTGTTGGGCTTCAAAAGCTGCAATGTTTTGAAACATTAACAGGAATTCCTACCTAAACTTATGAACCAAGCTACAAAAACCACTAATTAGGTTACTGGTCAAATTCCAGTGGACCGCTGGAGCAACGAAAACAATTACATTATAATCCAGCACAATTCAGGCTAATAGACAGATCCAGTAACAGACAATAGTTTAGGCAGAGCAGACACTACTGGGATTCCTTCTCTTTAGTAGTTTTGCTGAGATTTCCAAGAACCAGTAGTAAATAGAAGCACCAAAGAATAGTGGAAGGCAGAGAAAAACAAAAAGATTACCTGTTTGCATATAAGCTTCTCAGTAAGAGATGCAAGACCCCAGTTCTGCAGACCTCCACCAAGCTTTCGTTTAGCTAGATATTTAAGATCTTCAACAGCTTTAGTAGAGACATTATAATCTTTAAAAACCTTAACAGAATCACCGGCAATGCCAAGTCCAACCTGTGCCATGGATCACATATTATATTAGAATAATGTATTGTAAGATCCAGAAAGAAACATTTCGTGTATCTGGGTGGCAGGTGTAGTAAGTCTGTACAATATATGTTATTGACCTTCAAAATTGATGCATCTTCGAGAAGTAACTGCAAACTTTGAGGAATCCCAGAATGAACAATATGCATTACGTGACAACAACTTGTGTCTACACATATCTGCATAACCGCAGCCTTCCTAGGTGGAACACCTGCATTTTAGGCTTTCCCAATGATGAAATCCAGCAAGTCTAAGTTGATGTATTTATTCATAAAACAAAACTGAACCCCACTCCAAGAATAATGAATAACAACCTCATGTTTAATCGGATAAATCCATCATAGAAATGGTTCATAAGCCATTTGGCCAAAAAAGTCAAAGGGGAACATTTATGACATACATTTGCCAGAAACATGTTGAAAAGCATATGGAAAAGACAGAGCAACAAATGACGAATAAACAACAGAGCATATAAAAGAATGAAACATCAACAGCCAAAACACTGTAAATATTTTAGTATTCCCTAAGAAAGCCGAGATTTTCAAATGCATAAAATACAAAAAAGGTTCTGGAATCCCCCTCTGCCTTCCGGATAAATTATCGTCATGATTTATCAAAGACCAAAGTTATAACCCAAATGGCCCCTCCTTACGCCTTCCAGTCAAAAGACAAAACAAAATAAATCAAAGGTACTTGAATCCCCATCTGCTTTTAAAGTCATATTGAAATATCTATTATTTCACTGTTTCACAAGGGGGAAGTTGCAATCAAGGCCAAAATGTAACTGAACCAATAAAAAACTTGGCTCTATCTTGTTGCTGGCCCTAACTAATTTTGCACACCAGTTCCCTCTATCCTTATCGAATATTCGGACATTAGTCTTCCAATATACAGCTATTTTCAAACAAGAAAAGCCTTCATCCCATTCTAAATCTAGAGATAGAAAGAGAGAATAGTTTTCTTAGGGACAAGAGGAAACAGTTCTTTAGCACCATATTAAAGCTGATTGTTTTAAGTTATCAGTCTTTACTTTTTTTTTAGCACAATAATAATAATGATAAAGTTATCTTAAAAAATGAAAAAATAAGCTGGAGATCTCCTCTTGGTGGGAACCAGTCTCTTCCTTCTTGGCCTATAGCTGTAGAAGTCTAAACAATAGGAAAGTAGGAAGGATGGAGAAGGTGGAGAGTTGGTTTCCGAAAATGACCACCTTGAAAGAAGAGGAGGAGGAAGTGTGGGTAGAGAGTCAGAGAGAATGCATCAAGTTAGAGAGAATTAGACAAATCTAACACCAACCTCTTTGGAATGTGGGTCTCCACTCAATGTCAAATCCAACTGCAGTTTGGCCCGCTTCTTTTTCCTTTGCTTCAATAATCTTTAGAACCTCCATGGCAGCTTTCTCTACTTGAACTGCAGTCCTGCTATATGTAATCTGACCTCCAAACTTCATCACAGGATATCTCATCCTTATATTGGCTGCTTTAGGAAATAAATAATGTAGTACAACATTATGGATCTTAAGAAAAATTAAATTAAACAACTTCTGTATAAAAAGGCTGCAGAGAAAAGATATTTAAATGCTTATCAACAGTCCAAAACATATGCAAGCAAATAAAAACCATTAAAAATTAGCAAAACCTTCAATGGTCATTAATATCATTCCTCCTAACTACATTTGAGAAGACAAATATTATGCTAAAACCTTGACCTAACTGCACTGAACATGTGTCAAAGTGTTAAAAAGCCCTTGCTTGAGTATCAAGCTAAAATAATTTTGATAGATATGATTTGTCTGATGGTCTGATCTTATCCCTTCTGAGGTTATAGGAATTTTTAAAAGGAAGAACCTACAAACCGCATCAGGGGATTCTAAAAAAAAACCTTAAAATTTATCTCATTATTAACTTAACCACCATAAATGTCATTTACCCCTAAAAACCCCACTTAAACTTCCCCTTAAATCAAAATTCAGCTTCTCTTGAAATATAGGAACTCCATAAAACAGTCAAGTTACATGATGGGCAAAAGATTAATCCATACGCGGTAAAATCTTGGATATCCAAGAGGATCAAATCTATCAAAAGCTTCCTGTCATCAACTCTTACAGCAAAGGATTTCTACACAGATTCTGTGATTGTTATTATAGATCATCTTGCAAGTATAGCAAGAGAAAATCAATAGCCCAAGTTTCAGTTGTCCTATCGGAGTGGCTATTAATGTCATCTATGAGAACTCATGCAGTTTTAGAGCTGGTAAGGAGGGCATCTGTTAACACTGATTTGGAGACTCTATAATCTTTCTGACTGACATCATAAATTCTCAATTCTTTTAGTAGCTAGTTTTATGGGGCAAAGTGTTAGACACACAGAAGAGCAACACACCCATGTAGCGGGAATGAAAATATTAATATGGATGGTAGGAGTGACTTGAAAAGACAATTAAAAATCAATACAATAGAAAAACACTGGGAGTGAACCCAGTTAGTGATAAGTTAACAGAAGGTAAGTTAATGTGATAGGAACATGTACAACATAGACCACCAAATGTACCTATAACTGAAGGAAGACTAGTTAAAGTAAAGATCTAAAAGATAATTTAATACAATATACTGCATATATTCAAAAGAAAATGGAAGATGATAACCCATGTGGCAAGCCATATGATGGATAAGATAAATAAGGGCATGTACGATGATGAGGCTTAGCTATCAACATCCCTAAGGAAAGGACAATCACTCATTATGTGAGACACCTGGCAAGGCTTGAGGCATGCATGGTTCTCCCAATACGATTGGCCTTTTTTTTTTCTGCCTGCAACGTAGCGAAATCAAATAGATCTCTAGATAATGATCCACTGTCAATCACTCTTGATCTTCACCTCTTAAGTTATCTAGATCGCTATTTTCTGTTCATAAATACTATGACTGTTCCCCACAGTACATTTCTACTATCTGTGCTATGTCCACAAAATCAAAATAAGAAGTCAACTTCAGAGTTGAGACTTTTATAATGATGCTTCATCTTAGACTCCACGCAAATTTTATACAAAGCTCACAGGCCACAAGTAAGGAGTAAAATGCACTCATCAAACCTAGATTTATATTTATGCATTTCGTAGCTCCTCTATACCACCTGTACGAACTTCATGTACTCACAAAAACTGCCTGGTGTCCCATCCAGCCTAAAATACTGTTGCACTAGATTAGCTAGACTCTGTATGACCTTATAAAGCCTTTCAAGAACTTCAGGTGTTGCGCCATAACACGAAAACCTAAAGTCATTATGCTACTTCCCTTCCCTACATGAAAAATCACGCAATGCTCTCCTAAACTGCAATCTCAAAATCCAACATTAGGCTCTCAATATAATCTTAACAAAATTCAAGAGCACATTTTCTACTGATTTACGACAATTGACAGGTGCCCTCATACAACACTTGTCAAGAGCATGTTTAAACAAATTAAAACCCCTACATTATCTAGCGTTTCAATCAAAATTCAAAATTGAAAAATTGAAAAAGCTATGAACTATTGAATACTAAAATTTACAATGAATGAACAGAGGCAACAGACCTTGACGACAAGGGGAGAGAGAGAATGCGTTTGGATGCTGGAGAGCGAGAACTGAACTGGGCAGGCGGCGGCGGGCAATCTTGGAGTGGTATTGTTGGGTTTTGTCGTCGCCGTCTGAGTCGTCGTCTGGGCTGGACCGTCGCTTTTTGGGGAGAGAGAAAGAAGTGGCAGCTTCGAATGCGGCCTCAATGGCTTGGAGGTCTTCTTCTGTGAAGGGCTCGTCGTCCAACTCCGATTCCGATAAGATGGTCTTCTTGCTTTTGCTTTTGTTTTCCAGGGATTGCGACTTCTCCTCCATTTACTCCATTACAACAACATTCCTCGCATTTGTCTGTAATTTTGAGAGAACCTCCATTCCATTACAGCATTCCATTATCTAGGAGAGAAGTGAGATGGAGGGTATAGAAAAAAAGGCCAAAGTACTTTTTCAGTCACTTTTACCATAGTAGTTTTATGATTGTAGCAATTTGAGAGCATGTCTAAAGTGATCTGGCCTGGGGTAGGTGGGAGTGATCTGGCCTCAAATGAAAAACCACACTTTCTAATGCACGTGTTTGGCCCAGTCTAGTTTGGCCTAAGGCAAGATAAGGCCATCTCTACTCGTGGAGTGCTTCTATAGTGAGTGAAAAGTTATAAGGGGTTTTTTTTGAGGGGTATGTAGGAGCCGTTGGATTTCATCCAACGGTGAGTTTTTAAAAGAGGGTGCATGTAGAACCGGGTTGAAATCTGACCCGTTTGGAAACCCAACTTCAACTGAAGATTTTTCCCTCTCTTTAAAAAACTCAAGAACACAATCCTCTTTTTTTTAATGTAATGCAAATCCACAATTAGAAAGATCCAAACCTCCCAAACTCTATAATCGCTCCATTGTCATCAGCTCCTTGGGAGGCCTGCGATCTATGGTATCCTCGGTATGACGATTAATGGCTTTTACCTAGCTATTGCCCTGTTTTGATTCTATGATTCAAGTGAAAACCCCTTCTCTTTTTCGTTCAGCAGAAGAGATTCCAGATGAAAGCAAAGTAGCATATCTCTTTTTCGTGCTGCTGCAGTTGTTCCTGGATTTTGGTAGAGATGGAGTCTCCACTACGAAAGAATCATCTCTAATGTCCACCACATTCTTTCAAGCTGACTGACTTCGGAGCTCCCGATTGACTTTGAGAGGTAAATTCACTCTTGCTGGATTGATTTTGTTGGGTTTGATTTGTTTTTTGTGAGGGTGAGAAATTTGTCATTTGTGGCATCAATAATGCGTCATTTGCTCTGCTATCAATAATGCGTCATTTGACTTTGAGAGGTAAGTTCACTCTTGCTGGATTGATTTTGTTGGGTTTGATTTGTTTTTTGTGAGGGTGAGAAATTTGTCATTTGTGGCATCAATAATGCGTCATTTGCTCTGCTATCAATAATGCGTCATTTGACTTTGAGAGGTAAGTTCACTCTTGCTGGATTGATTTTGCTGGGTTTGATTTGTTTTTTGTGAGGGTGAGAAATTTGTCATTTGTGGCATCAATAATGCGTCATTTGCTCTGCTATCAATAATGCGTCATTTCCTTATGAATATTCAATATACTTAGTTGATTATTTTTGTTTGGAGGGGGATTGGAAATTTATGAAATGTAGGTAAAAGATCCTAAACTTAGGCTTAATGGCATTAGGAGTAAGCATTTGGAGAGGATATTGGGTGAAGTTCTGTAATTGCTGGTTTGAATTACATTTGAGTTCTTAGTTGAACATGTTGGTTCTAATGTTATTTTTTCCAGATTATTTCACAAGAGATGACGTAACTATTATTAAATTTTGCTTGTGTTTTGTGTAATCAGAATCCAACAAGCTAGGCTATGCGTGTATTGTGTCAATTTGGGCAATGTTTTGTGTACGTGGAATGCATTGATAAGTTGTGATGCAGTAATGATTGATTAATGAATTAACATTTGCTATGCAGTAATATAGAAGTAGATCAATAATATACGTGGATAAAATGTCTGGGGGCTCAGAGAGTGATGACTCTGTAACAGCTAATGGGAGGGTTTACATTCCTGAAGTAAGAAATGAGGAAACACCAGCAGTTGGGATGAAGTTCGACTCGCTTGACCTCGTTTATAATTTCTATAATAGATATGCATTCTTGGCTGGCTTTGGTATTCGACTTCATTCCAGCTTTTGGGGGAAAAATAAGAAAGAGATTCTGAGAAAAGAATTTTTATGTTGCAAACAAGGTGCATACTAGAAGGATGAAACTCGGGAGAGAAAAAGACAGCGGGGAATAAGTAGATGCAATTGCAAAGCTAAGATTGTGGTTGTGAAGACACATGGGAGCAAGAAGTATACCATCTCTCTTTTTGCAGAGGGACACAATCATAAGATGACACCCTCAGGAAGAATGCATTTACTGAGATCACACCGTCGTATTTCAGATTCTACAAAAGTACTTACAAAACAGTTGGGTTCGGTTAATATTCCCATTAATCAGAAGGTAAGTATTTTCGAGGTGCAATCCGGAGGAATTGATAAAATCGGTTTTATCAAAAAGGATATCTACAATCTTAAATGTAGTGTGAATGGGAAGCTGAGGAACCACGATGTTGAACTAGTGACCGAGTATTTTATGGCTGAACAGAAAAAAAATAAGGCTTTTATTTCAAGATTGAGGGAGATGGCGATAACAGGTTTAGTCGATGTTTTTGGGCAGATGCAACTTCTAGACGGACGTACGGGTTTTATGGGGATGTTGTTGTATTCGATACCACATTCAACACGAATAGATACGACTTGACATTTGCACCAATGTTGGGAGTTAATAACCATGGTCAAACAATTGTCCTAGCATGCGCATTTTTGAGCAAGGAAACGACTGAGTCATTTATTTGGATGTTTGAGGAGTTTAAGAAAGCCATGCTAGGTGGCGAACCTAAAACGATCATTACAGATCAAGATGGGGCAATGAGCAGAGCGATTTCAATAGCCTTCCCGACTACATTTCATCGGCTTTGCATATGGCACATCACATCAAAGTTCTCTGTTAAGTTACCACATTCTACTTATAAGGAGTATTGGCGTGAATTCCAGAAAGCCATATGGGATACTGATAATAAGGATGAGTTTGATGTAAAATGGAATATTGTGGTTACAAAGGTTGGTTTGACTGACCGTCAATGACTAAGTTCAATGTTTGATTTAAGGGAATCTTGGGTTCCAGCCTACGCACGACACTTTTTTGCCCCTGGAATGTCAAGCAGCCAAAGAGCAGAATGTTCTCATGGTTTCTTCAAGCAATACATATCAAGGAGAAATTCGTTGATGAATTTCATAATAAGATTTGAGAGGGCACTTTCTCGTTAACGTAAAAAAGAGTTAGTTGCTGATCACGTAGATGCATTTGAAGCGGCTCAATGTATTATACCGATGCCAATGAACAAACAAATGGCTACCTTGTACACAAGGACAATGTTTCAAAATTTTGAGCAAGAACTAATACAAAGTACAGCATGTTTCCTAGAGCTGAAAACAGAGGATACTTCTAAAGTTGTCTTTAATGTGAGCGAAAGAAAAAATTGGGAAATAAGAGTGGCAGAAGTCGTATATGTCAAAGATTCTGACCACGCATCGTGTAGCTGCAAAATATTTGAATTTATTGGAATTATTTGCAAGCACATCCTTGCATTGTTCAGAAGGGACCAGATTGAATATATGCCCGATAAATACATTTTGAAGAGGTGGAAGAAAACTGCGAAATCTGGATTGGTGTCAAATGCAATGGCAACGAAATTAAAGACTCTGCAGATCCTGGTCTTTTAATAAAGCGGAGTACAATGTCCCGACTTGCTTCAGATGTGGTTGAGGATGCATTAATGTGTGAAGAAGGATGTGAGCTACTGTCAGAGACTCTAAAAAGTTTGCGGGTCAAGTTGAAGTTGTTGAAGGATAGTTTAAGAAAGCCATGCTAGGTGGCGAACCTAAAACGATCATTACAGATCAAGATGGGGCAATGAGCAGAGCGATTTCAATAGCCTTCCCGACAACATTTCATCGACTTTGCATATGGCACATCACATCAAAGTTCTCTATTAAGTTACCACATTCTGCTTATAAGGAATATCGGGGTGAATTCCAGAAAGCCATATGGGATACTGACAATAAGGATGAGTTTGATGCAAAATGGAATATTGTGGTTACAAAGGCTGGTTTGACTGACCATCCATGGCTAAGTTCAATGTTTGATTTAAGGGAATCTTGGGTTCCAGCCTACGCACGACACTTTTTTGCCGCTGGAATGTCAAGCAGCCAAAGAGCTGAATGTTCTCATGGTTTCTTCAAGCAATACATATCAAGGAAAAATTCGTTGATGGATTTCATAATAAGATTTGAGAGGGCACTTTCTCATCAACGTCAAAAAGAGTTAGTTGCTGATCACGTAGATGCATTTGAAGTGGCTCAATGTATTCTACCGATGCCAATGAACAAACAAATGGCTACCTTGTACACAAGGACAATGTTTCAAAAGTTTGAGCAAGAACTAATACAAAGTACA